AGGGAGGTGTGCCCACGTCGGCACGCTAACGCTACCATGCTAACTCTCACGCTACCATGACAACAGCTGAACGTGAACTCTGGGAGAAACATGGCAGCTGGAGGAAACTTTTCGGTCCAACCTTATGATGTTTGAACCAGTCAGACCCTGAACAAGAGGGAGCTAGTGAAGAAGTTGTTCAATGTAGACTGCAACAATACGTTTCTGAATGGTGAGTTATGAGCTTTATTTGACTTTTTTCTTAAAAATGTGTATGTTTGTACGTTGGGTAAATAGGCGGAGTAAGCTGAGGTGGGGGGCAACATGCAGGTGAAAGGCTGGAATATTATAATGAGCTAGAGCTAATGACGTCAGAAACTACCCACTCCTGAAACCTCCTGATTTATCTCCTGGATTCAGACTGAGGCGGCCCACAAAAACATGACTGAGTCTTTTTTTTTTCACACTTTGCCTGCTGATAGCCCCTCCACAGTCCCAAATGTACACAATCACATGATTAAAAACTTGGTTTTGCATGATATGTCCCCTTTAAAGCGGAGCCGGCGGGGGGTGAGGTTTACCCTGAGCATGTCTGGGTTGGTGTTCAGGTTGCCGTTGAGCAGCGGCTGCAGGGGCGGGGTGGGAGGGACGGGCTGAGTGAAGCGGTCCTGCCTGTCCCTGCTGTGCTGCAGGTCCCAGTCCCACACCGGGGGCAGAGGGGGGTCGGAGGGGTCTGAGGGAGGGTCCGAATGCAGTACGTCCCTCCACCCGTTCACCGGCGTGTAGGACTGGCCCAGGTTCTGGGTTCAGTAGGAACAAAAGCGTCTGATCGTTTAAATGGAGGCATGCCGGTCAAAAACACCAAAAAAGCTTCACTCATTCCTAAAACCATTCAGCGTTTTGGTTTGAATTGTGCACACGGCAAACAGGAAATACAGTGGGGGAAATAAGTATTTGACCCCTTGCTTATTTTGCAGGTTTGCCCACTTACAAAGAATGATTATTTTTCTTCATCAGATGGTTATCAATTTTTTAAAAATTCATATGATGTGAATTTCTGGAATTTTCTTTGGGATTCTGTCTTTCACTGTTAGAATGTACATATGATTAAAGTTATAGATCGTTGCATTCTTTGTAAGTGGGCAAACCTGCAAAATCAGCAAGGGGTCAAATACTTATTTCCCCCGCTGTAGCTTCAGTTCCTTTTCTGAGAGAGGGCTCGCCTTTTAAAGGCAGCTTGGAGTAGAATAAACTATTCTTGGCCCAATCCGATCTAGATATCCGCAAAAAAATGCGAATCGGCCGGCAGGAGAAAATGCAGATCCATACTCCAGATCCAGTTTTTTTAAAAAAGTCTGATCCCACATGAGCATTAGCATTAGCATCTTCTAACCCACAGGTCTGTGTCCTAACCATTAAGTTGTTATGAGAGTAAATCCCTGTTCAACATGAGTCTGACCACTGAGTAAGTCCCGGTCTGTCTTCAAGAAACTCTTGAAGACCCCCCTCTTCAAAGAGCATCTCCTATCCTAATCCTAACCCGTACCTCTACCCCCCAAAACTCCTTCAGTAGTCCCTCTACCTCTATCTCTATCTCTGCTGTCACCACTGACTGATCAGTGATTCTCCTCTGTATAGCTTCTTGTCATAGTGATGAAAAATGTAAAATTGTGTCTACTCTGTAAGTTGCTTTGGATAAAAGCGTTTACTAAATGCATAAACATAAACAAGTAAGTAGATAAACAACTTTAAACTTTAACACATGCTCTGATAAACCAGGATCGGGATCGGATGTAAAAAAAGCTGGATCCAGACATCCCTAGTCCGAGTAGACCTTTAACTGATAGCTTGGTGGCTAAGCTCCGTACCTGGGAGCGTTTACACCTCTCTCTCTGGCAGTTTGCCAGAAAGGTGGAGAAGAGCGGCAGGTGGACGCTGTCGTGCAAAGCCAGGAGGAAGTCGTCCGTCAGCTGGAAGCGAGAGGGAAACTGGAACCAGAGCTGCCACACGCAGTCCAGGAAGAGCAGGAATACCGGAGCCTGGAGGGGAATGGGGGGATGGATGGATGGATGGAGCAGACAGAGGAGGAGGATAATGAGGGTCAGATTAGCTCCGTTTGCATGCAGCAGTTTGGAGGCTTCCGGGCGGGGAGCTCCCACCTCCTCCTTGTCGTTGTCGCGGTGGTAGTTGAGGCGGCTGCAGAAGCGGTGGCCGGCCATCACCCACTCCTTCTGCACCAGGCTCTGGAAGCCGTGCCGGGTCCGGCAGTGCGGGTCACACATCACCTGCACCAGGCTGGACACCAGGCAGCTCAGGTCCCGGTCGTCCGGCTCTGGGAGGCGAAAACAGAGTTGGCGATTAATCATTGTTCTGGCTTCACATGGAGGCGTGTCTCACTGTTAGGGCCAGAAGCTGGAATCCCCTCATCTTTATAGCAGGATGACACGGCTCAAAGGAGGCATATTATACCCTATTTCAACAAGTTAAGATAGTTCCCTGGTGTCCTAATGTAATGTCTGTGACAAGCTTTGGTCAAAATCCCATAAGGATGAAGCACAATAGCAGATTTATTCTTGGCTTTAAAGGGTTAAAACATCTGGAGGGGAGGCTCATCGCTTTGTGAACAGCTTGAAACAGGAAATCTACAGGCTAATTGTGTCCATGTGTTGTTTACAATCAGATCTAAAAAGGCACGACCATCAGAAAGAGGTCTGTTAAATCAGAAATCTATCCTAAGAGGTCCACAACACGTGTCTGTAGAAGCCGAAACCCCTCAGAGAAAGGCAGTCAAACCAAACTTAATCATCTTTTCCTTCAAACTGGACACAGCTGCATTAAAACTATGAAATAAAGTAGATCATGTTCAACCTAAAAGTTCTGAAATGAAGCGTGAAACAGCCGTTTTCCACATCTGTGGAGGCCGTCAGCGTGGAGGCTGTTTCCTGGTTTTTGCTACTAAACAAGCCCTAATGTGGCATCATATTATGAGGTATTATGGTGACGTTATGGTGAGGTGAATAATGAATGGCTGGCACAATAGGAGCCGGGGTCCGGGGTCATGTGACTCACCCTGCAGCGCCACGGTCAGGTGACCGCTGCGAAGCAGGCAGGCCACCTCCGAAGCTTTCCTCAGACAGGACCTGGAGACACACCGGCCCCCCCGTTAGGAACCAGCCTCTCATCTCTCATCAGAAATAACCGGAGCAGAAACGGTTTGATTGGATTAAAGCGGCACAGCTGGAGCTTTTACCTGATGTGGTCCAGCCAGCGGGTGCTCTCCAGCGTGGACAGCCATTTGTCATCCGGCACCGACACAGATGTAGAAATGTCTAAAAGCAGAGCACGCTCAGATATTATTACACAGGCAGAGAAGCGGGAGCCCTAATAATAAACAAAAAAGACACAGATACAAATAGAAACACAACGTTGACACTTCCCCTGAAATGAACCTGAAACTGAGTCATTGTGACTCTTACCGAGGCCAAACCTTCCTCATATCAGCGCCTGTGCGTCACAACCAAAGTCTTTAGCTACAAACACGCCACTTCTGACGGGAAATCTGTGCTTAACCATTTAAAAGTTAACTAAAGAGTAAAATCCACACATACTCATATTGATATGATGAAACGCTGGTTTCGGGAAGCCCACACGAACACATCTGTCTGCAGCTGTTTTTAGAGGACCACACAAGACAAAACGCAGAGCTGACAAAAATCTGAGCTCTGATAATCTGTGACCTCGTGTGGGAGTGAATGAGGTGTGAGGAATGTGCTGTCTGGGCTTTTGTGACAAAAGCAACAAAACAAATCGTCTCACCACCATTCAGTGCTTAGGGAGGATAAGGCCCCATCAGCACAGACTAGGGTCTTCACCATACTAAAATGTTCAACTCAATACCATGAGGATAAAAAAAGACCCCAAAATGTAACTGAATTTTGATAGGTTAGTGTCTTTGGTTTCAAACTGATGTGTTACTGATGTTATCGTGGCCCACATTAATGACCCTAACCCTCCACCCTTCATAATTGTGAGAAATAAATAGTTTTTGGTTAAACTTGTTTGGACTTATTGTAAAAAAAAACCTATTTTAATTCAGTGTTTGCAATATTCATCTCACTATTTTTAAATGAATGTCTATATTGCCATGAAGCAATTAGGATTTTCTTGCCTGGGATCTTCCTATTGGTGACCTAATCAAAATGGCCGACTTGGATGTGGGGGAGTTGGATATCCATCCTCGGCTTCCTGCAGGCTGCAGCCAGACGGACTTGATTAATGTTGGCGTGTTGTTATTAGCATTTAGCCGCAGCTAGCAATTCAAGGCTAACGTCATGTTAATGATCATAAACAACGTAAATAGATAAATAAATCAGAGAGAAGGGGGGTGGTATTGAAACCTTTGAAAATGAGTATCGTATCCGGATACAACGTTTTACTTTTGAGAACCCTAGCACAGCTGCATTTACAGACGTGGGAGGAAGAGAAATGCCTTTCTTGTGGCGTTAAACAGGGGTAAAGCTTTAGAACCTGTCCTGACAGAGGTTCGTGATGGAGGCTGTGGCCTCACCTCCCAGGCAGAGGCCCCGCAGGCGGCTGTGGGCCAGCTGGATGTCGGCGGGCGCCGGCAGCTCCTCGCCCAGCTCCACCACCACGCACAGGGAGGACTGGCACCCGAACAGGACCATCTCCAGGTTCCTGCAGAACAGCACACACAGGCTGTTAGCGGCCTGCTTCACGGATGTGCATCGTGCTTTGTGTTCTGCATTCTGATTGGCTAAACAGCTTCTTCTCTACCTGCTCGCTAAATTTAAGTTTGCCAATTCTCTTGCAATTTCAAGTTTCTCTAAAACCTGTAATGTTGACAAAACGTTCTGCACCGACAAAGGCCCGAAAGGCAGATGAAGAAGCTAACTATCGCAGAAAAAGTCAACCTCTGGACACGCTAAAGGTAGGTAGAAGCTATGCGGCTTTAAGTTGCCATTACGGAATTAATGGATCTTCCGTTGGTTCCATAAAGAAGGAGGATAATAATTAGATCTCTGCAATCTGAAGCCTTCAGTTTGTATTGATGATTAAAATGATTATTTTACAGTACAGTAGTTATTTATAAAAAAATAAAAATAAAACATTTATACAGTACTTTTAATTGTTAAACAAATGCTTGGGCCTGTAAAAAGGTTTTGTTCTTTGGTTTAAATGTATTATGGAGCATTTCATTGTTTAATAATTGTAAAAAAAGTAAAGGTTACTACTTCACGGATTTTGCCTATCACGGGTTCTTTTTGGAACGTAACCCCCGCCAAAAACGAGGGTTCACTGTTCACAGAAGCTCTGAAGACCGCGTCCTATTCAGCCTTCTGCTGTTCGAAGGCATTTCCTGTTCCCAGAGCATCGTGTCCACAGACGGATGAAAATAAACTGCCTTTTGAGCAGGTTAAACCTGCATTAAGGACCCCTGAAACGCTCACACCCTGAAGCATAAGCAGACCAAACGGGCTGCACGCGTCTCTCTGCAGCCTTGTTCCGGCCACAGCTTTTTATATCTGCATCTGCCTTTAGTAGGCCTAAAAAAAGCGTCTTTAACTGAAGCGCTGAAACACACAGCTAGTTAACAACCAGCCCGGCTAACAGGGACTGACAAGCCCTGCAGGATTCATCAGCCCTGCCTCTATGATTTCAGCAGAGATGGAGCCACTGCACCCACTCATACTGACGTTATCTCTCAGGAAGGAAGGACTCGTAAAGAACTTTACAACATGCCTGCCTTTTACTATCACTGTCAGAATAGTCAAATAGCACACAACTGGAAATGCACAACAATACCTCTTTCTTATGTTCAATGTATGTACGTCTGCTGTTGCCCAGTCTTTATATGTCTGTATGGTATTGTTTATGTACTCTAGATGTAATGTATGTGTACTGTCTTTGTCTAACTGTCCATGTCCACACCTAAAGTCCATGTCTATGTCTGCATGGGAAAGTAAGAAATGCAATTTCAATTCTTTTTATGACCAGCGCATGTAAAGAAATTCATAATAAATCCTAACCCGTACCTCTATCCCCCCACAATTATTTCTGTAGTCCCTCTACCTCTACCTCTATCTCACCACTGACTCTGATCAGTGTTTCTCCTCTATATAGCTTATTGTCATAGTGATGATAAATGTAATATTTTGTCTACTCTGTAAGTTGCTTTGGATAAAAGCATCTGCCAAATGCATGAACATAAACATAAAACCTACTTGATTTGGCTAGCTGTGGTCACGTGACCGGCCACCAAGGGGCTTTAAAAGAGGCTTCAGGCAGCAGTACTTTGCACTCCTGATTGGAAACGTGGAGCCTAAATTTCTGACCCCAAACGTGGGTGCTTTAGGCCAGAGTGATGCAGTAAATCCCGTTGAGGGGGGCGGACCCACCTGATGTCGTCCTTCTCGTGGTAGATGTTGTTCTGGAAGCTGGACATGCGCAGGAGGTCGCTGCCTCTGGGATGGCGCCAGCACCACCGCTGCACACAAAAGAGTCACCCTCTCATCACGCGCTCCACTAAAACTGCACCAGCTCTCATGGTGGGGTTTGACCAGTAAGAAGCTCTACGGTCATTCCAGCATAATAATAACTTCAATTTCTGCCTTTTCCACTGCATTTTCACCCAAAAGCGTAAAAAAACGTTTAAGGTTAAAATGTGGTTTCCAAGACAAAAAAGCATTAAAAGACTAGAGAGTAGGCTTGTCCTGTTCCAATATCTGGATCGGATCGGCCGGCAGGAGAAAATGCTGTTCCAGACTCCAGATCCAGTTTTTTTAAAGTCCGATCCCACGCGAGCATTAGCATTAGCATCTGCTAACCCACAGGTCTGTGCCCTAACCATTAAGTTGTTATCAGAGTAAATCCCTGTTCAACATGAGTCTGACAACTAAGTAAGTAGATAAATAACTTTAAACTTTAACACATGATCAGATAGGCCAGGATCGGGATCGGATCGAAGAGAAAAATCTGGATCAGGACATCCCTACTAGAGTTTTAAATATCCCTTCATCACCACATTACAGGCTTTTTCTGTGGATTACAGAAAAAATAACAGATGAGTTCATGTTTCCTGTAATTGAGTGGTAGTACTTTAAACTAAAACTCACGGGGATGCGTCCTTCATGGAAGTGGGCGAAGCTTTTCTTCAGCTCCGTGTCCAGAACCTTCTGTGGGACCACGATGAACCTGGACAGGCTGAGATAGAAACCAGAGAGAGGGGGGGGAGGGTTTTACTGGCAGAACGGAGGGAAAACAAATGGCTGGCGGGTTTTACTGAGCCGCTCCAGACGGAGGCTTCACCTGGTGGACATCTCGAAGCGGTCGTTGACGGAGCTGACCCTCCAGTTGGCGGCTCCACACCTCTCCAGCTCCTGCTCCCAGTCCGAGGCCGACTCGAACCAGTTCATGTGGGCGTCTCGGCGACGGTTGCTAAGAAACTGCTTCATTTCTGGGGGAGGAAAGAGATTCGGTTTTGCTTCTTGGCCGCACGTTTTCTTCAAACTTGTGACACTCTGAGGGGGAGGTGCTGGAAAGCTTAACGTTGGTGTTTTAATCTGAAGACAATTTTCTACTCCTCCGCTTGTGACCAGCCTTCTCCTCTAACTGCTAACAGTAAAAAAATCAAGGCCCATCCTGATCACCAGAATAAGACTCTGATTAGCCGAAAATGGGTCTGGATTGAGTCCATCTCCTTCTTTTTCTCTCCCAAAGTCCCTGAGATGCTTCGGTAGGCCAGGACGCAGATGGCTGCCCACAGAGGACACACTTGACCCCCGGGGCAGAGTTGAACTGTAGGTCATCTAACGACTTGTTTCAGTTGGGGGGGGCTTGCATTATTTATCTGGCCATCTACGGGCTGGCCAGCCTAGCGTAGCTTTAACATAGACCGACATATCGGCTCGTGTTTCCATATGTGGTGGAAGTGAGCAGCCAGCTCAGAGCTGGGAGGGACTGAGGGAGCTTTTCTCATCTGATTTTAGCAAAACAACTCGAGCAAACGTATGAAAAATTCTCTGTATCACTTGAAAGCTCAATTATACATTAAAGCGGTGGCGTTTAGCCTTTCATTTTCAATCACTGAGTGTCTAAAATCTTTAGAGGGCCTGGGTTTCGGAGCCCTGGCAGAGCTGTAACATATGGATTTAGTTTCAAAGTTAGTATTCTCATCGTCTCGTCAAAAGAGGAATGCGATTCATCTGGAAAACCGGAAGGGATTGAAGTACTTACAGTACTCTGAGCAGCACAGAAAGCTGCATGCTACCAGTTTAAGCTTGAAATGCCACGTTCCACGTTATTAAAAATGGGGATAGATGAAAAATTGTGATTAGTTTTTTTGGCTGGTTTTACTGGATGAAAAGTGCAGTCACAATCCAACAAAAACACTCTTTAAGGAAGGTCTCAGGGTTCAGATAAGGGATTCAGGAGCCTTTTCTGAGCTGTGGGGACTTTTGCATCCTAGATTAACTCCACTGATATCTGTCTGAATTTAAATCCAACTCCAGATATACATAGAAAATCAACAGAACACTAAAATAGACTGTGGTGCTCAGGTTCCAGTTGGCTGCATTATTAATGCGCTCAATAACTGATCAGAAGCAGCCGTTATTGATGGGATCCATCTCAGGCGTGTCCCTGAAGGAGAGATACTCGGTGAGAGCAGACGGATCCTGTCCCGGTGCCAGGAAGGCTCCCGAGTGCCTGCAGACATTAAACCACTCACCCACACTCCCCAGAGCAGCGTTCTGGAAAGATGAAACTGACCCCGGTTTCAGAGGCTGGTAGGTCTTGGCGATGGTGTATGTCATCTGAGGAGGGAAACCACAGTGAGTCCATCTACATGACAAAGGTCATCGGCTTTAAAAAGGGAGGTCCTGCGCCGTCAGATCAGCCTCAGAGGGCTGATGTCCGGTAACCAGAGACCAGGGTTCCAAATTCGTGGGAATTTGGTGTTAGCCAGCAGGTCTAACAGCTCTGAAAAGTTGTCAGCTATGACCAAAAGTAGCCTGATTGGTTCCATTCTGTCATGTGGGCTCCAGCAGACTATATTTAATGAATATTCAATTTAATAATAATTGTAATATAATATAATTAAAAATGTTTTCAGGTCCTCTAGCTTGGCGGCACAACCACGTCATGCCTCAAACAATTGAATAAAGGAGGAAGGAGGCAGGAAGGAAGGAAGAAGGAGGCAAGAAGGAGGCAGGAAGGAAGGAAGAAAGAGGAAGGAAGGAAGAAAGACGCAAGAAGGAAGCAGGAAGGAACGAAGAAGGAGGAAGGAAGAAGGAGGCAAGAAGGAGGCAGGAAGGAAGGAAGAAAGAGGGAGGAAGGAGGCAAGAAGGAGGCAGGGAGGAAGGAAGGAAAAAGGAGGCAAGAAGGAGATTTCATAGAAATTATGATAAACTGCAAGATAACATGGAGGACGATAGATTTCAAACGAAAACTTTTTTTTTGTTTACTCCCTGTTTATTTTGCATGTAATTGATATAAAAACTTCATTTGCAAACCCGTCCAGCCACCCGGAGCTGACAACTTTAGATTTTCTCACAACTTAACAATAAAGCGTGCACGCCGGCCCCCCCGTGATCAGTCATTTCGAACCCGGCAGAGACCCACACAATATGCACAACGCATACACACTGGTGCGGAGATATTGCGCAGTGTGCCTGTTTTTAAATCCAGAAAATGCTTCCAGAGCAGCCTGAAGCGGCTGGACTGAGACGGCTGGACTAAGACGGCTGGACTAAGACGGCTGGACTGAGACGGCTGGACTAAGACGGCTGGACTGAGACGGCTGGACTAAGACGGCTGGACTGGGTCTGTGTGCACGCACCTCTATGACCTGGGCGTCGGGGGTGAGGCGGTCGAACAGGAAGCAGATGACCCGCATGTCCCGGCAGTACAGCACCAGCTCCTCCGGGGTGAACTTCAGGGACGAGTTCGGGGTCACCAGCTTGGTTCGGTTTGGGCCCACTGCAGCAAAACAAATGACCCCCAAATGACCGACCGACACACCGCGAACAAACCGACCACAGGGGGGATTCAAACCATCTCCAGGAGCCATAAACGGAGGGATTCATTTTCCAAAATACATCAAATAAATAGCTGTTGGTGGTTAGAAAATATAGATAGTTCAAATATTGTGATAGAGTCATATGAACTCTTGTGTTGTATCACTGATCCTGTAGTGTGTTACATGTTCCAAATAGACTGAAAACACTAAATGAAGATCCTGGAAATTATTTGTTTGGATTTTCTGCCTGTTAAATTAAACTAATTTAAATGAAATAATTACAATTCAATTCCATTCTATTTCTATAGCACCTTTTTCTATAGCAGCTTTCCAAACAGAGCAGCTCAGACTCTGAAGTTATTTACAGAAGAACAACAATTCCCACCAAGAGCAGCACTAGGAGACACAGGTAAGGAAAAACTGCCTTCAATTCAAGTGTTAGTCACATTTCTGACCACATTAAAAACTGACTCATAAGTGTCCAGTGCACCACCAGACATTTCCTTAATCTCGGTCATCTGTACTGTATGTATAAATAAAAAAATTCACAGTAAATAAAATAAAAAAACTAGCCAATCATGGCTGCAAATCAACTTATTTGTAGGACACCCCAACATTTTTGCTTTTTAGACTTACCGACAACAACCTTTTCTATTGATGCCAAAGCAACATCGTGATCTCCCAGAAGAATGGGATCTGCATTTTCCTGCAACCACAGATACGATTATTGGGTAAATAATCATTCAGCTGGTCAGTCGAAATATGTAAAGCTGTAAATACACACGAAAAGACCTTATGGAGTTTGAGCATTTGCATTAGAACAACTCGGGGACTCACGTCGGGTTTGGGACTGTCCTGGGGAACAAAGGCCACTCTGAAGTGGGTACAGAACAGAGTCCCGGACAGCCAGCCTCGCCCCTCCCGGGCCGTCAGCTTCTTCCTCACCATGACGGCCCTCTGGAGCACACACTCACCTGGACAGCACATGTTTATGTTTATGCATTAGGTAGATGCTTTTATCCAAAGCGACTTACAGAGTAGACACAATATTACATTTCTCATCACTATGACAATAAGCTATACAGAGGAGAAACACTTTTCAGAGTCAGTGGTGAGATAGAGATAGAGGTAGAGGGACTACAGAAGGAGTTGTGGGGGGGATAGAGGTACGGGTTAGTTTTTAAAGCCTTACATGGGCTTACACCACAATATCTAACTGACATTCTGCACTTTTACGCTCCCAAGAAAACATTGAGATCAGCCAGTCAGGTGCTGCTGGTGGTCCCTCAAACCAGACTGAGGACAAAAGGCGATCAAGCCTTTAGTGTGTTTAATATAAGATCTGCCCGGACCGTAGAGGTGTTTAAGTCCTCCTTAAAAACTCATTTACTTGACATGGCTTTTAACATTTTAACCGTAGGTTGAGGTAGAGCACCTTCTTACCTCTTTATTTTACATTAAAATCACATATATGTATGTGAATTATGTTAGCTTTTTATGTTTATTTTTACTTGTACAGCACTTTGGCAACTTCGGTTATTTTAAATGTGCTCTATTAATAACATTCGACTTGACGGGTTAGGATTAGGATAGGAGATGCTCTTTGAAGAGGGGGGTCTTCAAGAGTTTCTGAAGACAGACAGGGACTCTGCTGTTCTTGTAGCGCTCGGTAGGTCGTTCCACCATCTTGGAACGACACACGCAAACAGTCATGGACACGGAGCTACCATAATGACATTCACAGGACATATTTGTACTCTTCTGATCAGCTATCTGTGTGGGTGGTGGTGATGGAGGGGGGGGGGCTTCCGAGATAACACACAACAGGAAGTGTGAAGAGAGTCGGACGCTGGGACGTGGGCCTAGCGACATCCTTAAACACAAAGGTACGTCCTTGAATTGTTACGAATTACTGGGTCGGATAGTCGGGCGGCAGACAAACAAAAGTGGGAGGGACTCGGCAAAGAGGGAAGAAGCTTCTGGAAAAACAGAGTGAGAGGGAGCCCAGATTCCAGGGCAGAAAAACACAGCTGTGCGGCAGGACATTTAAAAAGCCTCCCGCCTAGCTAGACTCCAGCCGGGTTTCCACGGCAACGGAGTCAACATCTGGGGAGACGTGGAGGAAAACGGCTCTTTTGTCCACGGCCATTGGCGCGTTTTGGTTCCACATGAAGAGGGAAAACGCTTCTTTCTGATCCAGAAGAGCTGAACCTCTCTCTGCTCCTTGGCTCATGAATGTGTCGGGGGGGGTGGGGGGGGGAGGATGCAAACAGGAAACAGCCATTTTTACACATCAAACACTTGCTTCTGCTGCCACGGGTATGCTGTGAGCTACGGGCCATTCTTCTGCTCCCCCCCCGTCTTCCAAAACCACACAGATTAAACTGATCTATTACAGTTTCCGGGCAGATTTAAGATGCCGAGCACAGAGGGCTCCTCTGTCAGAGCGCTGTCTTTGGCTCTGCGCGCCTCTCTTTAACGTCTCTCCGGGGAGCTGAAAACATTCCTGCAGGCTCCAGATTTGAGAGGAGAAAGGGAAGACGGGGAGCGGAGGCTGTCCCGTTTACACACTTTGGGGAGATGTCAGAAGTGTGTTCCAGCAGGTGATTCATTCCAGCCCGAGTCAGCATGAAAGGGAAAGGTGTTTACGAGGCTGTTGTCCTTTAATCCAATAAAGCCTTTTATGTTCTGCCCAGGAATCCAAGCTCAGTGGAACCACACATTATCTAGTAAACCTGGATTACGGCATGTAGCCATTTTCACGTCAGGAAAAAAAAAGAAAAGGGGGAAAAAAAAGGAGGTGCAATGTCAACCAGGCTCACAGCCTCTGTGCTGTTTGCTTTCATCTACTTTTATTTTTCTCGTTTTCAGCTACAGAACAAAAGGCTGCTGCCTTCCCGAAGCCCCAGAGGGTGTGAGGAGGAGTTCAAACAGTTGCACTGGACTGAATATAAACAGATTCAGTGAGAAAAAAACTGAGTATGTAAATTATTTTTTATTTTATTTCAGAGAACACCTAAAAAAGATAATTTAATCCATCTCTGCCGAGCTTTCTTCAGCGTAAACCTGACAATAAAAAGGTAATTTAACAAACCTATGGCAGGTACCAGGCATAGACTAATTCATTCATTTATTTCTACTTCATTTAAACCCAACTTGGTTGATATTGTACCTCCTTTTATTTCCTTTTCCTTTTTTTTTAACTGACGTGAAAATGGATAAACGCAATAATCCAGGTTTACCTGTATAAACGCAGGCCATAACTTAAACAAGAAGAAGGAAAACTCTAGAAAAAGGTCACTAACAGGAGAGGGAGAGAGACAGCACATCTGTGGAAAAATGATTATATCTTAAAATTTAGCTTCCAGATGTTTCCAAACATGCTGTAGTGGGTGTTTTCTCCAACAGTTCTGTTGTTTTTTTGGTTTTCTTTATTCAGCCATTTTGCCTTTTGATTACTGGGCATTTTTCCTTCTTAAATAAAACATAGTAGAAATGAATCCATTGAAAAATCCTCTGTGGTCGGCTGTCGGTCTGTCAACGGGGAATAAAGCTGAGTGACAGCCCTTAGATCCCGGAGTAACATTAGAACCAGGAGGAACGGGGCTGTGAAGTTGCTCTGAAGGGGGTCCCGGCTTTTCTGCTTTTGTGTGTGCACGGACGGTGAGGCCCCTCCCCCTCGGCAGCGCTGAAACGGCACATGATCTCCCTCCCTCTCGCTGCCGGAGTCGTCCTGACCCGTCCGGCCTCCTGCAGCCCGGCTCGGTTTCTGAGGTCCTGTGTCCCGCTGTCACTCGAGAAGGCCTCCAAACTCGGCGTGGCCATTAACTACTGACAGAACGTCTGCAAACGGATTTGTACCGTTCCTTTGGGCTTTACGCCCGCGTCTGATCGGAGCTGGGCTCTTTTGGGAGGCCCGGGCTGGCTCATCCTGCCCGGAGAGCTGAGGGACGCTGGGGTGGTGGACGAACGGAGGGATGGAGGTGGAGGTGGAGGGATGGAGGTGGAGAAAGCGAGAGTCTGCAGGTGCAACTTGACCCCCTTTCGCTTAGCGCCGTTACACTGAATCCGGCCTGAAATGGAACTTGTTCTCACAAATGTCCAGAGCCGAAGGACGCTCGTCTTCTCCGTCTCAAGTCTTTTCCATTAACCCTTTAAAGCCTGATCCAAGAAAAATAGGCAGAATATTGGATTTTTTTTAGTCTGAAGTCTTTCTTTGGTCCCTCAACAACATATGAAAAAAAAAAACTGAAACTATTTTGATCAAATTAGCGTGCAACAAGTCAAATATATATGTTGGTGTAGTCTTCTACTGGCTGTTATCAGGTATATCTGAATGTGTACAACAGGGGTTTGAGCAAAGCTTTTACCACTGAATGATGCAAAAAGTCTCAGATCCAAAAGACTTCAGAAACCGTATCAAATATGACACATTTGGCTTTATGGGGTTAAAAACACCCAAACTAAAATTACACGCTGTATTTACAGCATGCTGGTGGGAAGCTTAGCTAGCAGAGGAGCCGATTTAGCATTCAGTGACGGGGGGGAAAAGATGTTTATTAAGATAAAAAGCGTCCACATCTGTCTTCTCCCCCCGCCTCGTATGAGCCGGCTCCTCATGGGCAGCTGTGTTTCTAATCTGGATGGAATGAAGGTGGAGAAGGAGGGGAAAAAGAACAGAGCAGTGGGAACGTTTCGCAGAGGGAGACGAGGCCGAGAGCCAGCGGGGAGAGAAATGTGAACATTTCACAGTGTAACGCCGCCAGCTAAGAATAGAGCGGGTGCCCGATGGTGAGCACCAGAAGATCTCACAACCCACAGACAAATAAACCGGACTCACGGTTAGAAGAAAACAGGGCTGAGGAGTGTGAGCCTGGCCCATAAAAAGCATCCAAACTAACAAAATTAGAGTGAGCTACACACTATCATGGGCCTGAACTTAGCGTTTGATTTCACTGTATCTTACCTATACCTACAGATACCTACTATTAATACTATTTTCAGGTGCGAAAAAAGCCATAACCCGCAAATGGTTATGTGCAGATCCCCCTTCGATCCTGGACTGGAAGGATATTATGAAGGAAATCTGCATTATGGAAAGACTGACTTTCTCATTTAGACTGGCTGCCGGTAAGTGTGAGAGATACTGGGCAAAATGGGCTCTTTATCTAAAACAGAATATATTGTAATTTAACACCAACCATATGTTTGTCGCTTTTGCCCTGTACTGGTCTGTATTTTTTGTAGTCTTCTTTTTGATGTAGTGTCCTTTGTTTACACTAGATGCTCTGACCGTTTTGTTTTTTATGGGCTGTAATGTTCTGTTCTTTGTCCATTACAAAAGAAAAACAATAAAAATAAAGTTTTAAAAAAATAAATAGAGTGAGCTACCATGAACAGACGGATAGAAAAGGAAAGAGAGAAGGAAGCTAGTTGGACCTGGGACTGGCTCACGGGTTCAAACCTGCTGCAGATAGAATAAAACGGTTTTCTTTGGCCCTTTAGTGGATCAAACATCAGAGGTTTAAACAGCTCTGAGAATCTATGGGATTTTTGAGTGAAGCAGGATTCTCTGAAAGGCATCCACAAGACTTTAGAGTAAATTCTAAGTAAAGGCAACTTCTTAGATGCATAAATGCTCCAGCCCCACCCCACAGATTATCACTCCCCTAGCGTAATTACTAGTGACGGTTCTTCCCTGAACCCTGTCGAAGGAGGTGGCTGGGTCTGAGGAAAGCGCCTCCAAAAACACTGGAGGATGTATTTATTTATAGGCTTTCTGCTCCATTTTGTCCAGTCAAACAAGGCTGGTCCCGATCCGATATCTGGATCTGATCGGACGCCGATATTTGCAAAATAAAACTGCGTATCTGCCGGCTGGAGAAAATGCAGATCCAGACTCCAGATCCAGTTTTTTTTTTTAAGTCCGATCCCACACGAGCATTAGCATTAGCATTAGCATCTGTAACCCACAGGTCTGTGTCCTAACCATTAAGTTGTTATCAGAGTAAATCCCTGTTCAACATGAGTCCGATAACTAAGCAAGTAGATAAATAACTTTAAACTTTAACACATGCTCTGATAGGCCGGGATCGGTTCGGAAGTGCAAAAAGCTGGATTGGGACATCCTTAAGTCAAACCATTTAAACCTGGACCTGTCTACTATGGGTCCAGGTCCACTTTGGAGTCTTTGGAGGCCTGAAGCTGAAGCACCTGCTGGGAGGTTTCAGCTCCAGATGAGACTCTGACCAAAAAACGGCTTACTGAGAGGAGACATTTTATATTTGCAGGTTTTAGAGGCCGACCCTCCCCGTTCAAAGCCACGTGTTCACCGTTTGTTTCCTTTCATCGGTAACCATCATCATTGGCTTGAGTCGGTGCTCGTTTTGCTGAATGGGTTTGGAAAATGTTGTTTGGGCCCAAACTTTGGCTTTTCTCACCTGGCAGGCAGCGCAGGCCGAACACGTCTCGACTCCGGGCGCCGACGCCGCTTTGGCTCAGCATCCTCTCCTGTCAGAGAAACAGAAGCAAACTATAAGCTTACAAACCAGGGTAAAGTGGTTTAGAACTAGGGTTTTCACAATACTAAAATGTTCAACTCGATACCGATACTCAGGAAAATATTCGATACTCGAGACAATTTTCAATACCACAAGGATAAAAACAAAGACCCAGAAATTTAGGAAAATGTATGAATTTGGACAGGTTAGTGTCTTTAGTTTCAAACTGACCTGTCACTGATGTTATGGTGGCCGGTGGCCCACAATAATGACCCTAACTCTAATTCTAACCCTGACCCTAACCCTAACTCTAACTCTGACCCTAACCCTCCAGCCTTCATAATTGTGAGAAATAAATATTTTTTGGTTAAACTTGTTTGGACTTATTGTACAAACCTATTTGACATCCACTATTTTAACATAATATTATGTATAGAGTTTAATTCAGTGTTTGCAAGATCCATTTCACTATTTTTAAATTCATGTCTATATTGCCATGAAGCAATTAGGATTTTCTTGCCTAGGATCTTCCTATTGGTGACCTAATAAAAATGGCCGACTTGGATGTGGGGGGAGTTGGATATCCATCCTCGGCTTCCTGCACACTTGATTAATGTTGGCGTGTTATTATTAGCCATTAGCCGCAGCTAGCAATTCAAGGCTAACGTCACGTTAATGATCATAAACAACGTAAATAAATAAATCAGAGAGAAGGGGGGAGGTGGTATCGATACTTTTGAAAAGGAGTATTGTATCCGGATACAACGTTTTAGTATCGATACTTTTTTGAGTATCAATACTTTTGACCACCCTATTTAGAACTAGCTGTTGACCATCCTGGAGGAGCAGCTGTTCCATACGAGCACCTCAGAGGTTTTAATCCGTTTTTTAGGCCACCGGCCTTCAAACTGAGGGCTAGACAACACAAACAAAGCTCCCTTTCACCTTTGCTCTCCATTATATTCAAAAACTGTCCCAGACTCTTTTTCCAGAGTCTGATGGGACTCATTCGCGGAGACAAAGAGACGAAGCCGACCGCAGCGTGCCGTGATTCTGAGTTTCCATTTTGCGGTTCCGTTTGTTTCGGTTTTCTCTCCGACAGACGGTCGCAGAGCCTCGTTCCCTGAATCTGCTGGAGAGGCAGAATCCAGCCGAGCCACAGAGGCTTTCTGTAACCAGCCTGCGAAGCTTACGGCCGCAGATGTTTCCACTTAACTTTACTGCTAACCCCCCCTCGTGAGGACTATTTACATTCATGGGCTGCAGATCCTGAAAAATGCCGTTCGCTGCAATACGAGAGGACGGTGTGATTATACAGGTGGCAAACGGGCTTTATAACGGATCAGACCGGGAACAGCCTCTGGGAAAACCGCACAACGTGGAGCTGAACCGTCTTCCTTAGTGGCCCGGTTCGGCCCACGGTGAGACGGTTAATGGACGCTTTTAGGTCGCTAGCGGCACCCTGAAACACAACAGGCTCTTTGAACTAACAATGGATCCACTCAGCGGGTTCCTCAGTGGGGTGAAGTTTTGTCGGCGGCCTGCTCAGGAAAACCTGAGACTTCATAAAAGAGGGGCACTAAAACAGAGAGGGCGTTTGCTCCCCGATAAGGGTGTAAAATCCCACCGATTCACAGCCGGTTATTTTCTTTCATAGGCGGGAGCATCTGGCTGTTTGCCCAAACAAAACACACACATTCTGTGGTTTGAGACTAATGATGTAAGACTTATTAAAAAATAAATTAAAAATGTCAAAACAAGAAGGAGTCAGACTGGTTTAGGGTGGGAGCACGATGAACAGAAGCTGTGAAGTCCTGCTGAAACCTGCAGGGAAAAGCTGGATTTGATTAAATTCTTTTATGGCTGGAGGGATATAGAGGCCTCGGTAGAAAGGAAAAAAAAAGACTCCTACGCAGAAAAATATCCTTCTTTTGATTATAAGGCGGCACAGTAAACTTTTTTTACAGGACTTTGTCTCAGCCGGGCCATTGTTCCCTTTAAAAATGTCTGCTCTCCCTTTTGTTTCTGCTTACGCAGAAGCCACAGAAAAGGCTCAGCCCAGTTTCCCAACCGCTGCCGGGTCCGTCCAGAGAGGCCCGTCCTCCGGAGGTTTTTGTGTCCAGAGTAGGGTTGTCACGATACTAAAATTTTCAACTCGATACCGATACTCAGGGAAATACTCGATACCATTTTCGATACCAGAAGGATAAAAACAAAGACCCCAAAATTTAACCGAATTGTGTCTTTCATTTCAAACTGACCTGTTACTGATGTTATCGTGACTGGTGGTCCTATTAATGACCCTAATCCTAACCCTATCCCTCCAGCCTTCATCCGACTTGGATGTGGGCGGAGTTGGATATGTACTTGATTAAGGGTAGCATGTTATTATTAGCCCTTTAGCCGCAGCTAGCAAGGCTAACGTCTTGTTAATGATCATAAACAACGTAAATAAATACATAAATAAATCAGAG